TCTCAGTTGCATTAACTATGATATTGCCATAGTTTAAATTCTTGTAATTTGCTGTCTTTTATTTCCTAGCAGTAGTAGATCTATTCCTTAGTTCTAGAATATGGCCTGGATATTTTTGTCCTGTGTTTGTGTTGTATCTACCATAACAAAATCCTCACACCATTTTCTCAGGATCATGTTAACACAAATATAAAACTTGCTGTATTGTTTAATTGATGGTACCTGGATATTTGCCAAATACCTAGGATATTCACTTTTCTTTCTGTTGGTATGACATCATGAAGTAATTTGTCTGGTAAAACAGACTGCCTTATTGATAACTTCAGTCATGTCCTCACCTAGTGTAAACTAGACTACATAAAGCCTGCAAACTACAGGACTGTATGTGGGTTGATGGGAATTATGTATGTCACACGAGACATGAAGGTTCTTTCTGAAGGTGCTGCATGTCACTGTAACAACACATTGCTGCCCAGCTTTCTGAGGACATCTGACAGGGTTAGAGACGACAGTAGCCAAATGAATAAAAATTTCCTGTGCAGTATGTAGATATGTGTAATTGACCCCCTGTCCCTCTCAAGCCAGCATGAGTTGGTCCCTTTCCCTCTTCTTCTGTCTTAACTAAACATGTCACATCTGTTGTGGGGGATGTTCATACTCACTACAAGGGCAATAGTACCTGCCTGCCTATAACTGATTGTACTTTTACTTGCCTTTGGCTTTCTTCAGATGTTCAGTGGAGAACTACCTTTTACTCAATTCCTGTCTTTTGAATCATGTCAACTCAGTTACAGCTGAAGAGGTAAAAGGTAATGATCTTTAGACAGCTAACAAAAGATAAGACACATTGGAAGACAAGTACATTCCAGAGGAAATGGAGCATGTTATAGAGAAAACCTGCAGATCATGCTGATCAGAAACAAAAGGTGGGAGTGCTTTACTTTTGGACAGAGAAGAACAAGGATGCTGTTCTTTGTAAGGACAATTAGTGTGCACTCACAAAAGGAGGATCATTCCTTAGAAATCTGATATCCTTTCCTGGAGAGAGAAAAAACAAGTGAGTCACAGCAAGGAAACTACTGACAGGATTAACCAAGACCAGGAGAAAGTTTTTCATACAGGAACATACAAAAGGCTCTACCCTAAAACCAAGGAGTAAGGTAGACAGACAGCTTAAGTAGACAAGGAATTAGTTACAAGTCCAAAGACAGAATGGTGCAAGGTAGGATTACAAAGCCTAGAAATGGATTACTGTGGGTTTGGAAAAAAAGGGGAAAAGTGAGAGACCTGTGGGAAGATAGCCTTGACAGTTATGTTATTTCACAGGTAACGGTCTCAGAACAGCTTTTCCTTTGTGTACCTGTGGCAAACCTGGCTAACGAGAACTACCGCAGTGCTGGTGCCACTGGTAAGAACTTGAGGCATAGAAGGCATGCCAGTTTTCTTGTGCTTCTAGCTCACTCCAGACGGCCTCAAATTGTTGCTGAGGACAGCTGCCTAAGGCTGTGGCTCAACATGCTTTCCTGACAATTGCAAAGGGCCACCCTTCTGTGCTCTCTGTTCTGCAGGACAAGAGCATGCATAGTTTCTCCTAACACGGTCAATAGTATGTCACCACTTCACTACTTTGAACAGTCATCCTACAGACTGAATAAAGACTCTAATTAGCTATCTTGATGTGGAAGCATGCATACTTTTAAATAAAAGTAGCTTTAATCTGTTGGGAGAGCTCTTCCCCCATTTTTGACTCTCCAGGGTATCCCTTCATCCACCGGCTATGAGGCCAGGTGAAGATCCTTGTATCTGATCTTGACAATACAGTAGTGCTGTAGCTGTCAGTCAGCTCTGGATCAGCATATTAGACTATACCTCTTCCTAAAGGAATAGTATCAGCCCACTCAGGTGCCTACAGACATTACCCCTGCTTTCCCCTTTGGCCTGTCACCTTGTTAGTGAACAGGTGATACCCTGGTCTCATGAGGTTCGTAGCTGAGGTCACAGTACCTGCAACCACCTGGAACTGTCTGTCAGGGCCCTGATGGCACTGACATGGCTTACCAGCCCTGCCCAGCCTCCCCCAGGGCCACCTCCACCCTGCCATGTCAACCTCATGGGCTGTCAGCCGCTGCCTCAGGGATGCCACAGCAAGCCAGTCTCCAGCTCCCCTCAGCCCTGCTGGTCCTGGGACTGATTTCCCAGCTTGGCCTTGGCCCATCCTGGTCCCCACCAGGTTCCCAATCCCCATGGATGGGGCTGCTCCCAGCTGCCCACTGCCTACCGCAGCTGCCCTGCTCCTGGATGGGGCAGTGGGACCCTGGCCCAGCCTTGCTGCTCCCATGGGAAGCCCCCATGGCTCCTGGATGCCAGGAAGCCACCAGACCATGCTGGGTCCTATCACTGTAGCAAGAGTGCAGCTCCTCCTCTTCACTGTACTAAGGTCATAAGAAAAGCTGGAGGACTTGAATTCTATCTATTGCTGCTGTCTCTAGCAGAGATATGTTACAAAGCTTTTGAGGCTGAAACCTGAGATATTCCCTATCGTGGAGGATATTACCATGAGTTTGAAAGAGATGCACCAGAGGATAGATATGTTTATTGTCTGATGCATAATTTCATACCTTTTAATTTTTTTTTCTGAAGTTAAGGATAGGTAGTTTGACTTGTATTCTAAAATGTTAATTAAATGGACTTGGATGGATGGATGGATGTGCTATTGTGTTACTTGGATTGAAAGAATGAAACTTCTTTCATTAGATGCATTATGTGACTTTAAACATCTGCCTTTGCCCCATGGAATTGAAGGCTAGGATATACTATTATTGCCTTCTTTTAGCAATGGCTGCTGTGACATGCTTTTGTGTTATCTGTTATTACTGCTTTACTTGACGCAGTCCTGCCTTCCCCTTCTTCAGTCTTGACTGTGACCACACCTCCCTCTGTTTTAAGATATTTAAGGAATTTGGTCCATCCAAGAGGTAACACCTCCCTTGTTACCAAGACAAGGTTATCAGGAGGCAAGTTCCCAGTTCTTCAGAATTTTGGGTAAGCCCCTCTGAGCTAATGCAACAGAGAAGGGCACCTAGTTGTGAAGAAAAACATGTTCCAAACCTGAATTCTTAGCCTGCCAAGGACTGTTCAAGGGTTGATACTCTCTCTAATTATTGCATTCTGGCAGAGAGTGTCTCTGGGCTGTGTGAGTCACAGATGTTCCTGTACTACAAATAATGGTGATACATATTAACTAAAATCCCTGGAATACTCTGGAATTCCCAGTACAGACACTCCTGACAAAAGGGATTAATTAATTTTGTGGTTGTTATGCATGCAGTGCATTGAATGTTTTACACCTGAGAAGACACATGACTGTGAAAAGGAACAAATTGAGGTCTCAGATAACAACAATGTAAGGAAAACAGTGGAGTACCTGTAAAGTGTTTGGTATGCATCCTAATAGAAGCATAATAAAGCAGTTCAGAGAACAGAAAATTCCTGGGTTTAAGTCCAGAATAGTCTTCTCTCTGTTCTGCTCTAGAAGAACAGAGAAACGATTTCTTAGCACAAGCAAACTGAAAAAAAACATTTTGGGAGAGGTCTTCTTGAAATGGGCTTGTATATTTTGCTACCAAGGCTTTGCAAGAAGTCTTATCTTCCTTATAGGTAGACCTCAGACTCTTCTTAGTGGTCAGTCCAAGGAGGAAAGGTGTCTTCTTTGACTGTCCTGGGCAGATAATGATATATCTTACTGTACTGTTCTGTATTGGTTGAATTTGTTGTCCTGTCACATTGCTGAACAGAAAAAGAGGTCTATTTGTTTTAAGCAGTATAAGTTCTAGAAACTGTATGGTCAACATTTCATTAGGGAGCAGAAACAGCATAAAGGAACCTTTGTACTCTGTGGCTTAGAGATAAGGTGGCTTGTTGTCAATTTTAACCATTAAAAAAAGTAAAGTTTTCTGTGAAGGAAGTTAAAATTTTCTTTAGGAAAAATACTTGTGCAAATATAACTGGCCCAAGTAGAATTTGTTTGTATGTGTCTGTAGCACGTGATTACCTTTTCAGGCTTAAATCTTTCTTGTCAGGCACTACAAGCAGCTGAATACTACTTTAAGTATGTATTTGGACCCTTGCCCACAATTATTTTTCCCCTGCTGGTTTGATATCCTTAACTGTGACGTGCATCTCATTTGTTTATAGGTTAAAAGTGAAGTGCATCTTTGGAGTTATGAAAGTTACAGCATACCAAATGCATATTTAAATCAGCCGAGCTGATTATCTGTGAACATGCAGATCTGCATCCATAGTGCTGGAAAAGAAGCTGAAGGCTCATCTGCCTTTCTGAGATGGAAGCTCACTTAGGAACTGGCAGCTGCATGGCCTCACAGTCTGCCGGCCCCAGCTTCAGTTCATGGGGTGTTCCAGCCCCAGGTGGAGCAAGTCCTGGTTAAGGGGTGCTGGGTGAAGGAAGAAGGTGATTAATTTACCTCCAACACTGCCAAATCTCTTGCCTCGTTTTTTTCCCCAAATAGAGGAGCTGAAAGATTTGCATGAGAGAAGAGAGAGCTTTCTGTTTGTAAGCTGCCTGTTCCTGGCTAGGCCGCTTCTGGGCTTACGTACCTCGTCTGAAAGCCTGGATCCACCACGCCTTGTGGACCTGGCCTTTGTATTAAAATACTGAGAGCTAGTCTTCTGAAAGATCTGCTGAACAAGAGCTTCCTTTACCAGGATTTCTTTTTTTCGGATGAGACTCTACCCCTCTCACGCACGCCCCCGACCAGCACAAGTGGAACGCGACCTGCTGTGCCCCGCTGCAGTGACTCGCCCCGCTCTCGCGAGAGCAGCGGGCGGCGCTCAGCCGGCGGCGGCCGCTCCCCATAAATAGCGGGGCGAGGCCGGGCTGGCTTAGGCGGCGGCGGTCGTGCTTCGGGCGGTGGCGGCTCTTCTCTCTCCTCTCCCCACCCCGGGTGAGTACGGCTGCCAGCCAGCCCGCTGCCTGGCTCTCATCGGCTGCGGGGGCGACTCCGCAATATGGTGGAGCGGGCCGAGGCTCCGGCTCGCCGCGGGGCCGCCCGCGCTGCCTTCGACATCGGCCCCGCGGCTCCAACTCCCGGTGTATTTCGGTAGGGTGCTTAAGGCACTCCCGGAACCAGGAAGTCCCGATATACTGATCGCCCCGGGGAGGGTCACTGGACTGCCCCATCCCTGAAGAGGTCTGTGGTTGCACCTGGGAACAGGAGCGTCTTCCTCCCTTGGGCACCGCGGTTAGCCGGGACAAGCTCCGTGACTCCTTTGCATGGCTTATTGTGCCCCTTTCTGGTCTTTAACTTATTTCCATAGCGAGGCGGGGGGGAGTCGAAATTAAATTTGTGACTTAGTTTACTCACTTTCCTGTTCAGGACCTTTTGCTGTCTTTAAAAGACACTTTTGTACCACGAGCTTTGATTCAAGCATTTCACTTGCCTCCTCCAGGTGAAGTGGAACTGACTTTTGCCAGAGCTGAAACTATTTAAGGGCTCTCTGAAACTGTGCAAGATCCCAGTTATCTTCCCTGTCTGTAAGAGCAGGAATAACATCACAGACTAACTCTTCTATTTTAGTGACTAAAGTTAAAATCCATGCAGTGTGTGGCTGGATCTTTTGGGTTACATTACAAATACTGAATAAAGCTTAAAATAAGGGCCCTTCTTCCTTCAGAGGCCAGATTCTGTGCTGTTGGCCTCCTCTTTTTCTAGAGCATGCTTTGCACTTCAGAGTGAAATTCAGTTGTACTCTATTCTGACTTACAACACTACGTGAGAAACCTAACATGTTTCTAGGGGTTTTTCACTACTTGATGGAAGGAAAACTTCTCTTACTGCTGTAACCCTTGTTGGTTACCTGCTTATATGTTCTATGTACAGTCATTAGTCTCATTACAGGCATTACCTTATGGCATGTGTGTGTTAGTATGTGCAAATATGCCTGTAAAATGTTAGCAACATGCCTTTGTCCTTGTTCCCCATTATGTAATGGGAAAGTTTTACTTGACCCCAGGCAGAAGGTTAACACGCTCCTTTTGGTATCATCATATGTATGAGAAAGAAAACTGCTGTTGGTTCTTTGACAAACCTAGAAGAAAGCCTTGAAAACCACTGTCATTTCAAGGACTGGTTTGTAGCTTGCCTTTCTGCTGCCTTCATCTATGCAGGTTCTTCTGGAACTTCAGTGTCCTGAAACCATCAATGTGAAAAGTGCTTCTTGCAGATTTGGTTCAGCTTACATGCGTGCATAGGCTGGCAGTGCGAGTGTGCTTCTGTGTCTTCTCCTTATGTGGTACTGCAATACCCCTCTCCTTTTATAGGGTTCATATGGGCAGGGTTGTTAGTATTTTCTCCATGGGAATACATGTTGGAAAATAGAGTAGCGTAGGTTTGTTGAATGACTGCTGTCTGCAGCCTGTTTCAGTGAGGGATGGGAAATAAGTCTAAATTAGCAGAAAGGAGAGTTTTCTGCAGTGGGAAAGTTCTACACTCTGTGTCTTACAGGAATGCTAACTTTTGAGCAGGGGGAGCCCATCTTGGGTATTAGGCACGGCACTAGAAATAACGAACTTCATGAGTTCACTGGAATGACTTCTGAGAATTGAGCTGAGGTTACTGGAAATGAGTACTTCAGTCTTCTATGTGTTTTCAAGATTTGGACAGCAATGATGACTCATTTTTCAAACTTGACTCCCTTGTGCTAACCAAAGATCTAATCTGATTAAAGATATTGGTGGTGGATTCTTCACCTAATTTACACATCCTAAACTAGAGCTTTAGTGACGTGATGGCTGGTGTTTCTTTGTCCTGGCTCGACAGATAACCCTAAGTGTGTTTTTCTTGTGGAAAAACGAATTAATCCACCAGTCAGTAGTGCTTTGGGAATTCTGCAATGAACTGCTGTACATCAAAGCCTATCTATTGTATGTGCCATACTTTCGTTGCCTAAACCAAAGCAAGCAATTAGGATACAAAGTTTTGGATTTCTAAATTTTTAGAATAAAATGTAGTTCCAGTATGCAAGAATGTGAACATCCTAATCCCCTTGACCAATAAGGTTGATTACAAAAGGGTTGTTGGTTTCAAAGTCTGGTGATTAGACGAAGTGGATATGAGGATGCTGTAACTTAAATATGCTTCTTTCCCAGGCTGTGTGAGGTTCAAGACCTGGAAAAATGGCATTGGCAGCAATTGATCCACAACAAGTATGTATGTATGAGTTAGCCCCATAATTTATATCTAGTTCAGAAAAATAAGAGTCAACTGATTCCTTTCTCTTTTAAACAGAATATTGTATCGAGGGTTGCCAACCTTCCCTTGGTGAGCTCCACCTATGATATGGTGTCCACAGCTTACATCACCACAAAGGATACCCATCCTTATCTGAAGTCAGTATGTGAGATAGCGGAGAAAGGAGTGAAGACGATTACTTCAGTAGCCATGACAAGTGCAATGCCTATTATCCAGAAGCTGGAACCACAAAGTAAGGCAAAGATGGAATTGTTGATAACTTAATTCAGCTGAGCACTTTATACATCCAGATGCACTTACAGTTTAGCATGGTTGTGTTGGTATGGAATGCTGTTTCAGGTAGCTGACAGAATCTGTTGCTTGGCTTGAGTAACTGATTACAGATGGGTATGATTTAGAAACAAAAAAGTCAAAGCAGTTTCCAGCTTTCATAATACTAAATTGACTCAATATGCAAGGTGGTTATGTATTCTCTTGCTCAACACCTTCCTTACCTTTCACCTGGTTTCAACAGCTACTTTTGTACTTTCTCTCATGGAGAACAACTTGTGATACACTTGCCAAATTTAACTAGAAGGCTGTTGTAACCAGGAGCCTGGTTTCACAAAGTGGCAGAAGGCCAGGTTGTTCAGTTTCTTCTAACAGTTGCTAGTAAAGTATCAAATGGATTTTTTTCTGCCTGCAAGTGCACTTTTTTCCTGGCACTGTAAACCTGCCTTGTTCTTGGGCTTTTCAAATCTCATGAAAAAGGGAGGAAACCCCTTTGTTGCATGAGCTCTGTTCCAAGAATAATTCTCTACTGGAGATACTTATACTAAGGCAAAAACCAAACCAAAACAAAAAACCTCCCCCCCAAAAAAACAACCAACCAACCAAAAAAAACCAACCCCAAAAACATCAACAACAACAATCAAAAAACCCCAAACCATTAAAACCAACTATTGTAATTTCTTTTTTTATAGTTGTAGTTGCCAACAGCTATGCATGTATAGGTCTAGACAAAATTGAAGAGAGACTGCCTATATTGAATCAGCCGACTGACAAGGTAAGTTCTTTTCATGTACATATGCTAAGTGCAAGCACTATATGCCTTTCCTCTTTTTTATTATCACTAAACATACAGGGAGACAGATTTCAATAAGCCACACCTGAAGCACAGCTTAGAAGCAATGAGGAAGTGAAATGAGTTTCCATAGAACTGCTTGTTCCTTTGGGAGGCCATTAAGCCTCTGGTTTTGTGGGTTTTTTTGTGTGTTTGGGTTTTTTTTTTTCTTTGGTTTGGTTTGTTTTAGTTTTATTTTGCCCACCATTTGACACATCTATCTATAGCTGCTGTTCACTGGTGGGAATTTTTTTTTTAAATGTTAGTCCCTGTCTCTTTCCTGCTCAGTGTGAAACAAATAGTGCCTGAATTCCGTTTGCTGAAATGTTTTGAGCTGAAGGCTGTGTGACAGTCATTTTGTTTTGTCTTGTACATATGTTTTCAAGGCATAATTTCTCCTAGATAGCCAATACTTGTACAAGATTTAGCATAAATTTATATTTCCTGGATTACGTAGCTCTCACTAGAAAATAGTGAATCAACCTGTTTCCTATGGCAGGTTGTCACCAATGCCAAGGATGTAGTTGTTGGAGCCAGAAAAGCTGTAACAACCGCTGTGACTGGTGCCAAGGAAACTGTTGCTTACACGATCACTGGAGTTGTGGGCAAGACTAAAGAAGCAATGCAAGACAGTGTAGAAATGACCAAGTCAGTTGTCAGTGGCAGTATTAACACTGTCCTGGGAAGTCGTATGGTGCAAATGGTGAGCAGTGGAGTGGACAGTGCTCTTACTAAATCAGAGATACTTGTAGATCAATATCTTCCACTTACAGAAGCGGAACTAGGTAAGACCAATTCAAGGTTTGACTTTGTTGGAATGCTTGTATTGGAGAAAAGCAAGCAATCATCCATTTATTACTTAACAGTGGGGAGAGGGCGTGTGTTTCCCAAACTGCCTTTTGCCTTGATTGTTGTAATAGCATCTTCACAGGGAAGCAAAATCAAAATAGATTTCCATGTGTCATGCTACATCCCACTCACTCAAACCCAGAGCTCACCACTCACTCAAACCCAGGATACCATGTATGGTGGTCTAGCAACCTACCCTTGTGCTAAAGGGCTACTGAACAAGTCCAGTATTCAGCCATTATTAAGCAAATAAAATTGCCTCAGACCTCTAAGTTTTCTTCCAGTGGTAAATTTGCTTCCTTTCTACATATCTAGAGAAAGAAGCTACAAAAGTTGAAGGTTTTGAAGTGGGAGTTCAAAAGTCAAGCTACTACATTAGATTAGGATCCCTGTCTTCGAAGTTCCGCACACGTGCCTACCAACAAGCCTTAAATAAAGTTAGAGATGCTAAACAGAAAAGCCAGGAGACAATCTCTCAGCTCCACCACACTGTTAGTCTGGTAAGTTTAAGCTTTGACTTGAATAAAATATAGTTTTAGAGTTCAGAAAACAGCCAAAAGAGGCATAGGAAAACTGGAACTGCTCTCTCAGACTAAATGCATTTTCTAAATATAAAGCATTTTCCATTCGGAGCTTTTCACCACCATTCAAGAGAGGTCTTAAATCAGTCTGAGCTACAAACTAACCAGCAGTCACCTGTAATTTGAAGCACTGCAGGCATAGAAGCAACATGTTTAAAATTATATTCCTGATTTAGAATGTTTGGTTTGACACAGACTTCATTCAGTGTAGAAAGTGTCTTGCAATTTAGAAACCCTTCAACCCTTTAAGTACTTTTTGTTAATAACATTGGGTTCTTTATGGACTTGCTCTTCTTGCTGTGGGTATCTCTGAGCATTCCTGGGTACTTCAGTAGTCTTATCCTAATAACATGCCTTTTATGTATAGGACAGACTGTGCATAAAGAGTCATGGCCTTTAATATACTTTAAAATCCTTGTGTAGGATGCTAGTGGGGGAGGGGGATATAGTGTATCCCAACTACACAGCACCTCAAAATTTTTTCCAGTTTTCTCTTCTTTGAAGAGAAAGAACACAATCTTATATTCCCCCGAAGTCTTTCATACTGAACTTTTAAAGTACTTAAAAAGGAGGCTACAAAGCAGGTAAGGTAGGGTAGCCCTAATGGAACTGTTTGTTATTTGGCTATATTTCAGATTCAGCATGCTAGAAAGAACATGAATAGTGCCAATCGGAAACTTCTTGATGCTCAGAAAAAGCTTTATCAATCCTGGGTAGAATGGAAGAAAAATACAGGCCAAAATGATGGTGATGAACCACATAGCACTGAGGTAAATAGGTGTAAATGTAAACCAGGAATAAATGAATTGTATACTGTCAAGGTAATGGCAAACTAACAGTCCACAAAGCGCACAGCATCTTAACAGTACAGAATCTTATGTGCAAATGTGGAATCTGAATGCTGAAGTTCAGGGCAGCTGATTAGTGACTACTATGAAAAGTAGGAGGCACCCAAACTCTTAAATGAGCTTACTTCCTGGAAATGCTCTGGGGTTCATTCTCCTTTCAAGAGAATGCTCATCCTGTTTAGCCTGTGAACCTGTGTTGGGATCTCTGCGTGTAGATCAGCTAGGACTCACTTATCTGATATGGCCAGACCAGAAATAACAATTTGTCAGCATAAAGCAGTCTTAGGCACAGACTCACTGAATCTTATACATAGCTTTAAACAGTGGTTCATTAATTAGAATGTACTTATCTACTGTGACTTGTTATGCAGGGTTGAAACGAGAGCTTGCTTATCTGTTGCTGGATAGATGCTACTGGTGTTTCTGTTCTGCAAAGTACTTGAGCACTGAAGAAATAGCAAGTACTTTCAAGTCTCTGACTCTTCAGACGTAGGACCTATTTTATTATCTGCTATAGCTTTATTTTACTTACATCCCCTTTATTTTGCTTCTTTATGTATCTTGAGCAACATAAAGCTGCTACAGTCTTGAAAAGATACTAATATGCTGTTATGCTTTTTGTTTCCAGCACATTGAGTCAAGAACTCTAGCTATTGCATGGAGTCTCACTCAGCAGCTTCAGACCACCTGCCTCACACTGGTCTCAAGCCTACAGGGGCTGCCACAGAATGTGCAGGGTCAGGTTTACAGTGTTGGGTCAATGGCAGGTGAAGTCTGCCAGAGCTTTTGGGCAGCATCCTCCTTCCAAGAGTTATCAGACAGCTTTCTTGCCACTAGCAAAGGACAGCTGAAGAAAATAAAGGAGTCTCTGGATGATGTGATGGATTATCTTGTTAACAACACGCCGCTCAACTGGCTGGTAGGTCCCTTTTACCCACAGCTACCTAGCATTCAGCATGCTGAGAGCAAAGGTGAAGGGGAGGAAAAGTCCAGCCAGAAAGACAAACAGCCTGAACACACTGCTGAATAAACTGCATGGCATGAATGTACTCTGCTGACTGACCAAACAAGTGGCATTAGCTAGTGTAACTGTTAAAAAAGCTGTGGAGAAAAATCCATAAACACAGGAGTGGGGGAATGATACAGAGAAAGGATGCCCTCACCCATAGGCTGTATTGTTCTGTGTACTTAAGCCACTCTAAAAATTCAAACTGTCTTGAGTGCCTACACATTGGCAGCTTACAGTTGTCAAGATGCCTTGTTTGTCTGTCAAGTTAAGAAACCTCACCAAGCTTATTAATGGTATACATTAGTCTAAATGAAACATGCCATAGCAAAAAGCATTTGATTTGTTGCTTAATCTGTACCAGAATGATGTAAAAACATTACATACTATGAAGCGCATACAAAAGCCCTGCAGTCTAGCTAGATGTGCTTAAATTCCATGTTTGCTGCAGATCACAAATTTGATTATTATAGATCTGACTGTCTCAAATCTCACTGCTATACAATTCATGACAGAAGTTCTGTGAGTGCAGAATTCCATTTAAATACTGTCACAATGTTAACCATGTAAACTTAAATATTGTATAACACAGTAACGTGACCACAGATTCATATATCAGGCTGAAAGGGAGAACTGCCTAAAACTAAGCCATATGATTGAGAGCATCAACCAGGCGCTCCTTGAACTCTGACAGGCTTGGTGCTGTGACCACTTCCCTAGAGAGCCTGTTTCAGTGACTGACCAAATCATTACTAATACGTTTTAACATGCAGTATAAATACAAGATTCATGCTGTTTGTACCCAGGTGCTTGCTGTTGTGTGGGTTGTTGTGGTTTTTTTGTAGCCATCTTTTTGTAATTCATTTTGTATGTTAGTAATAAATGCTTCATTAGTCAAAGTATGTCTCCATTTCAGTGGTGTTTAAAACAAATGTAGTTTGCTGTTCTGTGACTTCTTCAAACTGGGTCCAGCAGAAAGCAAGCTTGAAATGCAAATGAAGTAGTCACGTATTAAAAAAATGCATTTGTGTGTATGTATAGATAGGTAAGCTATAGCTGCAGCATTTCTTTCTTCCCTTTGAGTTTCTGTGCATTCTTCCATTCAGTTTTAGCTTTACTGCTGCTTTTTTGGTGCTTGCTGCTGCATACCTTTAATGATGACCTAAGCTCTGAGATGATGGATGTTCTAATACTGAAGAGGAGGGTATGAACAAAAAACCCTGTCCTGTCTTTGCAGTAGGTGTTCTGTGTTCATGAAGTTGTCAGCTACCTGCTTTGGCTGCCGGCTCCCTATAAACAGTATATACTTAGCTGCAAACACCAGTTTTAACCTGTTTATTTACCCTCTTTTGAACTTGAGTGACTAATGTACATTAACACTCAGCTATGTGGGTGGAATTGTTCCTTAATAAATCCTATGAACCCCTTCCCTGGGAGAGAATTACAATTGCTAAGAAATAGGCTTTCTTGGTCTAGGGCTGGCCAGGTAAGTTGTGTCTGTGTTCTCAACACATGCCCTGTGCAACATTGAGTTGCAATCATTTTGTGTAGCAATGCTGGCCACCAGTTTCAAAGAGGTCACCAAATAGTGTGAAGCACAATGGAGTTCAAAGGAAGCTTGTTACCTAGTGACATGTTGCTACATGGAATAATACCTCTACCTGGTACAATGTGGGCACTGAAGCAAATTGGGTGTAGTCTAGCCCTCTTCTAATATGAGAGAGCTTGCATAGCTGTTAAGTCAGGGTTGGCCTAGAACTGTAGGAAGACTGTTTTAAGCACTCTATTAAACAAAATTGTAACAAGATTACAGATAAAGAATCTGTAACTTCCAGCTTTAAATGCAAAAAAAGCAAGTAAGAGGGCTGTCTAATGTGAAATTAACATGAGATGGTGAGAGATTCCTTTCTACCTAGGGCCTGAGTTAAGACTTCTGGAATTCATTCAGCAATTAATACTGTTTACTTTGAGTACTGAATGAGTCTAGCCAAAGAATATCCTTTTTTATCTCCATTTGTAACAATTTGTAGATTGCATCTACTGTTGGATGGGTGCTCAGGAACAGAATGGGACTAATCAGGTCTGGGAGCACCCGTTCTTATATGCATTTTAAAATCTGAAGGCTGTAGCTCTTCATTCTGAAGTGGTCAATCAAATAAAATATTCAAACTTCACTGTCTTTTGAAGACTGAGAAATAAACAGCACTGCCTAGTATTAATGCAAGGGCGATACATCTTTCTATTCAGCCTTAAGTTGTATGACTGTTTCATACTCTTTTAGATGGCTGTCTAGCTTTACTAAACATAAAACATTATCAGCCTAGACCTTCAAATCATTTCTCCCTTACCATGCACTGTTGGGTGGTTTCTGTGTAAAAGTTGCTCTAACTGTTGACTACACCTGATTGCTGCAAACAGAGGAATGCCTGGTTAAATGCTTACCTAGTGGTTGGGCTAATAGCTTGTTATATTAAAATGCTGTATGCAGGTTCCTGTGTCATGCTATTGTGGTGTGTGGTTTTGTTGGATCCTGCCATCCCAAAAAGTGTAAGTTTCTGTCCACCCACCCAATAGAATTAAGAACCCTTCCTTGGAGGTAAAGAGGGATGAATAAAAGCAAATCGGTATGCTTCTGGTTTGCTGTATTGAATAAAAGTCTCTGGATTTAAATTATTAGATCCTCCTAACAAGAACAGCACTGAATGTTTAAAGTGAATTGCAACTGTAGCTTGCATGGGTATCTTTTTGCTGGTAATTCAGTACAGCATATGCACAGACTAATCACAAGTCTACAGACAAAATTTGGTATTTTTCTCTAGGACAGCTAGAGATCGTGACTATTAATAAAATGCCTGCTCGAGGCAAGAATGATGTGGACACCTTCCGAAACCATCTTTGTGGTGGTTTTTTTTTGTTGTTGTTGTTGTTTTTTTTTTTATTTTATTTTTTTTCCACAGTGGACTGAAGCTGAAGTGCATGCTAATAACTGCTGAAAACTCTAATACAGGAGGAAAACCTAAGATATTAATGGAGCAGAACCTGCTCATAAATTTTTCATGCCATCTTACATGTTTCTCTGTAATTGTATGCATCACACAGCTCAGCTACACTGCACAGAAACTTGCTTGCTCCTGGTCCAAAAACACTTTTGAAGATATAGCTTGGGCTAGAAAGCTGTGAATTCTCTCTAGAACCTTAATAAAAAGATAAGACTGAATATGTTGAAAATCATAGGAAATAGTTGATCCTATTTGCAGCAAGGCAGATAAACTAGATGAAATAGAAGTGAGTGTCAAAGGCTGCTAGTCACACAAAAACTGGGATGGTAAGGATTAGAATATGAACAAAGTAATTATCACTGGTAAGGTTATTTAGAATTTGGAAAATGATTGTTTCACTTCAAGAGATCATTTAAAAATTATTCATCCCAGTTGAAACTTCCCCAGTCTCATTTAGTGAATAATTATTATTCACTTGTTGCTGATAATTCTTTGCTACAACCTTTAAATATAAGCATTCATAAATAGCTTCGTATGGTATGAAAGTTTTGCAATCATCGTATTCATAGCAGCATACACATTGGTCAAATCCAAATTACAAGGTTTGTGTAAGGACTGGAGTTGCATGAGGATTGGTAGTTTGCCTCAAACTAAAGAAAGGTGGAAAGCTTTTGAAATTTCTCCCTTTTCTCTTAAGATTACTTTTTTGCAATAATATTTTCCAAACTGTAGCTCACAGTAATTCCATATAGCATGTAAAATAGGTGAAAGAATTTGGAAACAACTGATTATTTTTCTTTAAAAACAAACAACAAAAACCACAAAAAACCCCACCCAAAAACTTACCTAGGCCACTAATTAAAAAGAGAAAACAGAACCTAACTTATTTTTAAAGCATGATCTGTTTGTCATTTGGATGACCAGAAAGTCTTACATGCAACAACTTACTAGCGATATTGTGCACAGTGTTTTGTTAGACATATTTCTTTTCATATTATGATGGAAATCTTACTTCTTTTGGATGATACAATCTCTGATGACTAAAAATAAGTGCTTGCTCTGAAAGTGCAGAAAACAAGAACTATCTCTCAAATTGCTAATGGCTCGGTTCTGAAAGTATATTAAGCAAGAAAATAATGGATTAATTTCAAGTTAAGTTAGTACTGACATTAACATTTGTATGTGAAGACAGCAAAACACTGAAGTAGGTTTTCCACTGTTCCGTGCAAGGATTTCGCGAGTCTTGCACTGTTCTGTATAAATGACCTAATCATCTTACAGAGAAATGGCACGAAGAAGAGTCATATCTGCCCTTACTGTTTGTTGCAAGAACTTACTGCTTTGATTCAACTTCCTATCAACTGTGAAGAGTGATGCGGAAGTGAAGTTGCTTTACCTAAGCAAGCCCATACCAAGGGCTTTGCATTGTTTTAGTTAGCCTGGTGCAGATGTTAGAATATGCAATTCTAATACAATTTAGGATGTTCAAAACTGAGATAAATCATACAGACATCAACCCTGTTTTAGTCTAATGTTGACAGATATGCTCTGATTGGAAATTCTCTAATGGCTATGAATATATTACTAATATGTTAAAGGAGTTAGCTGCTTATAATGTGTGTATTAAGGGGATGGAGAAAGCACAAACTTAAACTTGAGTGATTATCCTGTTGTCAGTAAGAACAACATGGATATAAGTAATGAAAGTGTCTTAAACCTAGGATATAGTGAAAATTATCGCTGGCTAGACACAGTTACTGAACATGGTCATTTAAATACAGAATAAAACAACTTGTTTAAACCATCTGTTTGGGCACATTTTAAAATGAGTTTGGCCTTAGTCTTGTTAAGATATCCCCATTTGTACTGCATTATGAAATACAGGGTCATGTGTTGATAATGGGAAAACTTGCTGATTTCTCTAAGTGCAGGAAATAGAGTTTTAGGCGAACTGACATAAGCAGAAAACTATAAGATAATTCTTGTTGGTAGAAAGGTGTGTTTCCCCCATTCCTAGTACCCCTTGATTTTTTAGGAGACAAATTTTACTGATCTCATTTTGATTAAGCTTAGGTTCTCAGTGGTCTATTCATTGTATTTACACTAGTGCCTGTTAAGTGACATGCTGCTTAAAATATTCTGAAGCTCAGTTTTAATTCATATTTTGATTAATATTTCTAAGTCCCTGGTTCCCTGTGGCTATGTACTCTCTAAGGGACTAAGTGATTCACATTCAGTACTTCAGTGCTATCTACAACCTGTTAGCTGAAACAGTAAACCCTTTATCCTTTGATGTGTTCTGTTTTCCTGATGCTTCTTCATAGCAGACAAAGCATAGATTTGTCTTGCATACTATCATAAAAGTAAGTCATAAGCAAGGTGTTTTGTAGTCAGGGAGTGCGTTAAAACTGCTTCTTCAGTCAGCACTGAGCTTAAGTTGCACAAATGCCTAGAAGCCTCTTCAGGTTGCTGCTTCTTTGTACTTAGAGAACCAAAGTCCTATTAATAAGCAGCCTGTGCCTGACTCCAACTATGTCACATCACCTACATTAAAGCTAACCATGAATCAAACTGTAGATATAAGTATTTTTCACTTGTGGCAAAAAATCTTTCAGTTATGAGTAAATTGCTTAATTATATCCCAATTTGCAGAAGTGCCTAAGTAATCTAAGTCCTACAAAAGGGACTTAGGGTTGGGACTTAAGCTCCACAGTGTCTTAGCCAACATTTTTAGAAGTGCATAACATCCCTGTATCCACTGATGTCTCTGGCAGTTCTTGAAACCTGGTTCTGCTTAACAGTACAGAATACTATACATGCAGTTAAGAGGCTAGTGTAGGATTGTAGTTCCAGATATTTGTTTTGTCAGAAAAGGTTTGATGTGGCAGGCAGGCAGGCAGAACAATGCAGAGCAATCGGTATCAGGTTCTTCAGGGCAGGCTCCTTTGTATAGCCCATTGCTCCCAAGGAAAGAAGAAAGGCAAAATAAGTTTAAAAACTTTCTTAATTTTCCAGTCACTGGTTTCACTAAACACGCTTCACTAAGTTCAGCTCTTTTCAATCTCTGCTATAAAACCCTGTCTTCTAAGCAATTGATCTACATTTTGCATAGTATTTGGTTTGTCTTAATGTTCTCTGTTTCATATGTGATTGAGCATATTTCACTCTGTATTCGGTATTTTGGCTCTGATTTCTAGAGACATTGAGCATCTTTGTCACCTGGCTTCAGTGAGGAGTATTGCAGAAATTTATTTTGTTTTACTTTTAAATTGATTGAAATTTCATTCCTACACAGGTTCCAGATTTCACTATTACAGACCTCTCTTCAGAGTCAGATGATATCCCAGACATTTTGGATTTGGATGAAGATGATCAACAAGACTTTTCACGCACAAATGGCCCTTACACTACAGGGCAAAGAGCTGACTAAAGAGAAGCATAAAAATGTCTTTTTGATACAATGTACTTCTGCCATGCTTAACTTAGATTTCTTCTTTTAAAAGATGAACCTGCATAGTTTAGGGATTGTAGGGAATTTTTTTTTTTTAATCATTACTGTTTCACTTAGCTGCATCGAAATTCTGTTTTTTTTTGTACCTAAGGAATACATACTACATTAATTCATTAGCATGGATGTCAAGCCCCTATTCTACATGCCAGGTATAGCCTAACCAGTGTATCCAACTGATAACAGTCTTTGTTAATGGTTTGCTCTCTTGCTGGCAGCAGCCATGAGAAAACTGCACTGCTTTGCATAAAGGGCTGCAGACAAAAGGCTGAGGATTTGCCTACAGAATTTCCCCTTTCAGTGTACATGAAAAGCGCCTCTGCATATACCTCTTTGCTGCTCAGCTTCTTTTTGTTGGGCTCTGCACCTACAGAGCTTAAATTAGAGATTCCCTTTGGCAGAATGCTTTATGCACAAGGACTCCCTTTCTCTCTACATGCCTTCTGTGTGCAAAGATTTTGGCCATCCTGATGATTGGGGGTTCTGAGACTAGAAGAAGGTAGATGCTTAAAAAGGAAAGTTTTCCAGGAATAGGGATGATGGTTACAAAAGAAAGGGAAAAATACTGTAAAAAGCAAGGAAAAACGGAGGGCAACAGATGTGGGACAAAAGAAACCTGAAGAAAAAAAGATGGGGAGGTGGGCAGAATTGGAGGTAGGGATACTTCTGGTGACAGTGACGGTATTTTTATGTTTAAATAAAATCTCAACCCAATACTTGCTAAGGAATGTCGGGTCCTCATTTGCATGTGCACAGTGACTTCTGCAGGGATTGGGGTGGATGGGAACCAAACCGGAGGCAGGCCGGAGCCGTCGCACAGAGCTCCCGCCCCGCTGCAGCCCCGGGAGCGTTACTCGGCCGCCGGTACAGCTGGGAGGCTGGCACCGTCGCTCCCCTGTCACGTAACGGTTGGTGGTTGTGAAAACTCGGAAGTCTAGCCGCCGAAGTGCCTTGGAACAAAGGTTTGAACCGCACAGCCGGCTGCCAGTCCGAGCTTTACCTGGTTGTCATGTTAAGAGTTTCTAATCGCAGCCCAAGATCATGGAAAGCGGCCCGCTGGAGGCGGGCTACACCAACCGCTCGGGTCACGCCGCTTGGGGCGGCTCCTGGACCCGGCCGCCGCGCCGCCCGGCCTACATCTCCCAGGGGGTCGCGGCGGCGCCCCTCCTCCGCCTCGCTCTCGGCTCTCGCGCGTTCGCTTCCGGTCCGCGGGGGCCGGTCGGAGGTCTCGCGGTGCTCGAGCTGCGCGTGCGTGGGCCCGCGCGCGGGAGATTGTGGCGGGCGAGAGGAGGTGGCTCGGGCCATTTTTGCGCGGCCGATTCGCCTGCAGTTAGGCGGCCGTTTCTCCTCTGCCTGGCCTTGGCGGCTCTGGGAGCTGCTTGGTGCCATGGCCGCCAAGAGGGAGGGCAAACGTCTTTGGCTTTCCCTGCTGGCCCTGGGCTTCGACCCGAAGGCTGACGGCATGGGCGTGACGCTGGGACCGTAAGTGCGAGGGAGAGCCGGGGAGAGAGGAGAAGATGTGTGTGGGGTGGGCCTTTTACGTGTCCATGGGGGTGTTATAGTCTAGTCCCGCCATGGCTGCCGAGGGTCCTGGTGGCCGTGGCGGTTCGTAACACAGAGGAAGTGCCTGAATTGCCATAGTAGTGATCTGTGCTATATATGTCTGAAGAAATGAAACCCAGAAATAGTTGTAAGGCTTGGTCTCCGTTGGATGCATCCTGCACAGTCCTATAGAGGGAAGTGAGTTGATAGGCTTCGTACTGCTTGGTTTGAAAGCTTCTTTGTAAGAAAACGCTTTCATCGAAATTCTTTCAACTTTGCTAAATAGTCTGGGGGATGTATATTTTTGGCTGTGTAGGAAATAAGGCATTCAATGTGTATCTTGTAACGCTTTATATTAAAGTAGTGTTTTGTAATCTTAAGCGGCCAGTAAAAACGCAGTGTTAATTCTGCATCCTAACTACTTCTCACGTAGCTCTTTATTTGTGTATTAGGAAGATGTTTGTAATCCCCAACAACGGTGCATTTTGTGTCATTTCCCTCTTCTTGTTTCGTAAGCTGGATAAGTCCCGTGCAGAAAAACTGTTTGCGTAAGTATTTGGCTTGTGAGGTTAATGCTATGCACATAATCAAGAATATAGTTTATGCAGTTTCTGAGGGGGGGGGGGGTGCGGGAAAAGTGGACTGTTGAGGAAAGCTGGGGAAGAAGAACATACAGTCAGAGAATTTGTTTCCTTTTGATCACAACTGTAATGTATCAGAAACCTTGCCTTAATCAAAGTTGTTTCTGGTAGTATGTATAACTTGGTGAGCTTGGTAAAAACTTTAATAGCTGCCAAGTAGTCTACCTTTCCCATTTGTTTCCCAGACCAAACAACGAATAACATTTCCCAGTTATGAATTACTGCCAAGATCTTCAACATGGCAAGAACCCCATCTTCCTTAGTGTTTTTCCTTGTATAGCTGAGCTGTTTTAGTTTACACATTAAAGAAATGGCTGGAAGAAGAAAAGTAATATGAAAATTGTCAGCATTCTGTCCTGTTTTTTTTTTTTTTTTTTTCTAGGTTAAAAAGAGCTGCAGACAAATCTCTCTCAAATAGTCTGTAATTAACTTATTATGGCAAGGAAGCCTTGTAATGTAAACAGTGGTCTAGGCTATATCCCCTCATTTTCTGGCTCCTCCAGGCAGCATCACTAAGAAATCTTTTTTAGTCTCATTCTTATAAGAGATAATTAGGTAACAATATTTGAACATGTTTTGAAATGGCTTTTCTTTTTTTTTTTTTTTTCCCTTCTCTTTCCCCATCCTTTTTACATGCAAAGAAACAGTCCCTATCCAGTAGGAATAAACATGGATCTTGCCTTTAGGAAGAAGTGCTGTATATGGCTAAAAGATATTGAAGTGAGTATTATGAAGAGTGGAAATTGATGCTCTACTGGTTTCTGTGACCCAGTTCTTTTTTTGAGAGCATATATAGTGCTTTTAAAAAGGAGTTCTAAATAAGGTTGGTTTAACAAATAATTCAGTTTTACTTTGTGTCTTATTTCACATACTTTATCTTAAGACTGGGGGTAAAATTGTGGCATGATGGAATTTAGATGACAGACACTTAATCCTGGGTCTTAAAACTGCCGTGGCTTGGTTTTGGATAATGGGATTTGATTAAACAGAAGTCTAGAGGGTTCCTCAGCAATGGATGAGAATAATTTTCAACCTGAGAGGTGCTTGCTTAAGTTGCCTGGTAAGGTGTTTGTTATTGTGAAAATGGTTTCAGATGTTTGAAAACCTTTTTGACATTACTCTTTCCTTGTATATGGGAAAAGGGACTAAAGTTTAAGGAGAGCTTTCTAAAGGAAAAGAGACAAATCAAAATTGATTGCCTCAGGTATCATTGGTTATTATGTTATCTTTGCATGCTACCTTTATTTTAATGTTAGGTCTAGAAATCAGGTCTTTATGTATTGGAACACTTTTATTTTTTTAGTAATAATGGACAGGGTGAAAGCCAACAATGCAGTATCTTTGAGTAAGATAAAAGCAGAACAAACTACACTGATTAATGTGAAAAAAAACCCTTTAGTATTTTTTCAAAGGTAGGAATTGCCGTCTTTACTTGCAGCTGGTAAAGTTTTCTAACATTTACCCAGCACTGATTTTAGTCTTTGCATTGAAACTGTCTTTCATGTGCAGAACTAGGAATAGTGGGAAGAACAGCATAGACATCAACTGTGGTGGCAAATTACTTTAGCTTTGCATCAGGCTTGCTAGCAAGTAGGCTGCAGTGTTTTGGTACTCGGCTAAATGTTTGACTTGTTTAGGCTTTATTTCTTAGATCAGTTTTGTGTTTAAAACCAATTTTACTTTTCTAGAGCAAAGGACAACACAGTTTTCCTCACATTAGACCTTCTTCATTTATTTCTCCTGGTGGTCCTAAATTTATTCACCTATTGTATTTATTTGCAAGACATGTAGTGATTGAAGACATGAAAATTAACTCCATAGGTAAGCTGTAATGGAAGAATAAAAATGTTTAATTTGTCGTGTTTAACAATGAATCTGTCAAGTCTGTGATATATGCCAAGAGTTTTAAGTAGTTCTGAGTTGGCTGCTCAGTTAAAAATCTTTCAGAGTTCTGTGCACTTTCATAGAGCCACTACTGATAGAACAGTGCAGATTGTTTTGCTTTCTATTGTTTTATGGGTCTTGCTCCAACGTTCATCTGTAATGCTGTACACCATTACCCATACAAACAATGGCTTGGTCCAGAAGTATTGAACTACTATAACAAAGTCTTTCTCACAACTTGAGGAATTCTGAAGGCTCAAAGCTGTCTGTTCTAGGCATCTTGTATTGTATTGGTGACCTAAAGAATAGGGAAAGGGAGTGAGGGAATGAAGATGTATACAACTGAAAAAAACTGGGTAAAAAGACAGTACACCACATATTCGATTTCAGTCCAGGTAAAATGAGCATCTTAATTTGTGATTCTTTCAATTCAAACTAGGTAGATGAGGAAGTTTTTTATTTGCTAAAAGTGAACAATGTCATCCAAATGTTAATTTTCATTTAGGTCCTGATATACCTTTTGCTGAAGCTGTAAAGTTGAGACCTAAGGATGTGTACATGGCAAATGCAAGATGTAAAGTCGCATACAATAAACTTCTGCAAATTCTTAGACTGCAAGATTTTATTATTCAAGAATATCGGAAAAAATCACGGTAAGTAATGCATTTAAAGGAGTGGTGTCTTGTTATAAAAGCTGACTTTTGTGTTTTTTTTTTTTTTTTTGAAAAGGATTTGAGGAGGCTGCATCTGCTTTACATCATAAGTTCTGTTGAGCTTCTCCCCATTTTTTTTTTCCTTCTTTAATTGACAGTATGTAAGGTTGTTGTGGTTTAACCCCAGTCAGCAGCCAAGCACCATGAAGCTGCTCACTCACTCTTCCTTCCCCCTCTCCCAGTGGGATGAGGGGAGGAGAATCGGGGAAAAAAAATAAAATTCATGGGTTGAGCTAAGAATGGTTTGATAAATAAAAGAAAATAAAATAGTTACAGTAATAGAATATAGTAATAATTGTGATGAGAAGGAATATAATAAAAAGAGATAAATAATCCGTAAGAAAAGTGATGCACACTGCAGTTGCTTACACCCACTGACTGATGCCCCAGCAGTGATCTGTTCCCTCAGCCAACTCCCAACAGTTTATATAGTGAGCATGATGTTCTATGGTATGGAATATCAGTGTGGCTTCTTCAGGTCAGCTGTCCTGGCCATGCTCCTTCCTAGCATCTTGTGCACCCTCAGCTTTCTTGCTGGTGGGATGGTGTGAGAAGCAGAAAAAGACTTGACTCTCTGTGAGCACTGCTCAGCAATAATGAAAACATTCCTGTGTTATCAACGCTGCTCTCACACTAAATCCATAATGCAGCACAGTACCAGCTGCTATGAAGAAAATTAACTCTATTCCAGTGGCAACCAGCACAAGGGTCTTGTATGAAACATAGTAGTCTAAAGAAATAATTCTTTCAGTTAGGAGATACTGGAAGATACGGTTACTTGGGCATTAAAAATAATCAGGGAATTCTGCATGTATAGCACTGTGATTTCTTAACATTTGAAGGTTCATGTCTTGGAATAACTGTCTCAGAATGCTTAGTCACTGTGGGACACAATTTATTTACATAATTCTTAATTACTTCACCAAAATTATGTTACTTTTTATTCTTGTGTATAGAGAATGTTGCTGGTTTGAGAAACAAGAATAACTGGAACTTTCTATGCAGACACAGAGTTACATATCAGTGGAATTCACAGAATTTGAATGGGATAGTTTACGTGGCTGGGCCACTTGCCATGGACAGTTGCAAGCTGTTCAGTAAGTGTCAGAAAAGCAGGGCGAGTTCCATGATACGTAAAAGAGCAGTTTTGCTGCATGTAGATTAGGTCCATATAAGAGGACTAGTCTGTTTTATGCCTTTGGATCAAGATTGGAGGGTTTAGCATCAAGGGAGAAAGACCTCCTGGTGGGTGTCTGCTATACACCTCTTCCTCTATACAAGGGAAGGAATATGAAGCCTTCTTCAGATGAATCAATCACACCTCAGACCTGCAGGCCTTGATTCTTATAGAGGTCTTCAGCTTACCCTGGTATTTGCTAGAAAAAGCAGACGGTGCATTGGCAAGCTTGGAAACTGGAGTGCGTTCAGGATTACTTGTTAATGCAACCACTGATGTGTTGGTGCTCTTCTCAACTCACTGCTTACAAGTAAGAGAAGCTTTTCTGGAGATGTAACTGCCAACAGGAGCCTTGTGGTCACTACAGCCAAGACTGTAGAACTTAAGATCCTAAGAAATATGAGGAAGACAACTGGAAGAATAGTGACACTGGACTTAAAAGCGGCAATCTGCTTGCCTGGGGAACTGCTAGGAGGTATCTTGTGGAAAGCAGGAGGACTCAGGAGTGCTAGGATATTTCCAGAGATCCTCGCTGAAGCTCAAGTGTGTTCCATTCCCCTAAGTGGAAGAAGAAGCAGGCATAACTAGAAACAAACCTGGTTAAAACAGTGAGCTAGTGATAGAGTTCAGAAACTAAAGAAGCAGCATATGGAATACGGAAAAAGGGACTGACTCCCAGGCATAAATACAGAAATATTTCTCAGGTGTGCAGTTATGCAGTTATGAAGGCCAAAGTTCAGCTACAGCTCCAAGAGCCTGATAAGAGTCTGGAAAAAGGTTTCATAGATATGTTATTAGAAAGTGGAAGTACTTGAAGGATTTAGGTCTGCTTCTGAATGAAATGGTAAGTTAAGTTTTAAGTGTCACAGACTGAAATAGCCAGTGCCTCTGACTTCATGGGTAAGGTCAGTAGCCTAGTCTCTGTGCCAAGAAGTGATGAAAGAAGCAACAAACCACTGATAGTGGAAGAGGGTAAAGCAGAGGTTCATGTGTGCAAAATGGACATACACAAACCTTTGCTACCTGATGGAATGCATCCAGGAGTGCAGAGATACCTGGCATCATTTCAGAACTGCTCTGTCATCTTTTGGAAAGATTGAAAGCTAGCTAAAGGGGCGACCCTAAAGGGTGGTAATGCCTCAAAATGTTAACTGGTAGCTGAACACGAGTGGAATTCCTCTGGGGTTAAATACTGTGTCTTATACTATTCCTTGTCTTTGTAAGGGATATGGATGACTGGATTGAATGCAAACACACCGAACTTGCAGATGATGCCAAACTGTGAGGAAAGGTAGATATACTGGAATAAAGAGCCATTATACAGATCTTGCTGGGTTTGGATACTTGCCCAACAGTAATTTTGTGAGATTTAGCAAAGAGTGTGAAGTCCTGCACCTGAGATGGAATAATCCTAACAGCAGCACAGGCTTGTGGGTGGTTGGCTGGGAAGCACCACTGCTAAGAAGAACCAAAGGTGAGAGTAATGTTGAGCCACAAGCTGAGCACAAGTTAGCAGTGTGCCCTTGTAGACAAGACCAGTGGCCTCCTAGACTTTATGAAAAGGAGCACAGCCAGCAGATCAAGAGATGTGTTTCACTCTACCTGGCCACACCTGGAATGCTGTGTTTTGATCCCTTCAGTTGAGAGAGATGGAAAGATAGGATTGATTTTAGCAGAGGACCACAGTGATTAGAGAGTTGGAGAACTTGATACATGTAAAAGCTGTAGAGTTGGGTTTGTTTTAGCTTGAGGAAGATGAAGCTCAGAGGGTTTAATCATAATGTTCCAATATCGAAAAAGTTGTAGAGGAGATTAAGGTACTCTGCACAAGGATGTATGCTGACAGGACAAGAGGCAACAGGCCCAAGGTGCTTAAGGGAAAGCTCACACTGGATTAAAAAAAAAAAACCTCATGTGAGAACGATTAAACACTGGAATAGGTTGCCCAGAAAATCAGTGGAATCTCCCTTCCTTGCTGGAAACTTTAAAGACTTAACTTGGTAGGACCAGGAGTCACATGATTGAAGTAACATAATTTTAAAAAGTGAAATGGAGAGGACCTGCAGAACTACAGGACAGTAAGTCTCACCTCTCTGCCAGGTAAGATCATAGAGTGGATGCTCCTGGAAAATATATTAGGGCATGTGGAAAATGAGGAGGGGATTGCTGACAGCCAGCATGGCTTCAGTAAGGGCAAATTGTGCTTGATGAATTTGGTGGCCATCTACAGCGTTACAGCACTGGTGGATATGGGAAGAGCAACTGACGTCAGCTACCCGGACTTGTGCAACGCTTCCTATACTGTCTCATGTGACATCCTTGGCTCTAAATTGGAGTGCCATGGATTTGACAGGTGGATCACTTGGTGAATAAGGAACTGGCTGGATGGTTGCACTCAGAGTTGAGGTCAACAGCTCAATGTCCAGATGGAGAGCAGTGATGAGTGGTGTTCCTCGGGGGTTGGTGATAGAACCAGTGCTGTTTAATGTCTGTTGGTTTAAGATCTGTTGGCTTAACAGCTTTGCTGTTGAATATCTTTGTTGGAGAATGGGTTAAGAACAGCCCTGAGGAGAAGAACTTGGGAGTAGTAGTGGATGGAAAACTGATTGTGAACCAGCAATGTGCGCTTGCAGCCCAGAAAGCCAACCATATCTTGGGCTGCATCAAGAGAAGTGTGGCCAGCAAGTCAAGGGAGGTGATTCTCCCCCTCTCCTCTGCTCTTGTGAGACCCATCCTGGAGTACCATGTCCAGTTCTGGGACCCTCAGTATAAGAAAGACATAGGCCTCACGTGGGTCCAGAGGAGGGCCGCAAAGATGATCAGGCATCTGGAGCACTTCCCTGAAGAGGACAGGCTGAGAGAGTTGGGGTTGTTCAGCCTGGAGAAGAGAAGGCGCCGGGGAGACCTTATAGCAGCCTTCCAGTAACTAAAGAGGGCCTAAAGGAAAGATGCTGAGGGACTGTTTTATCAGGGAGTATAGTGGTAGGATGAGCAGTAGCAGTTTTAAACTGAGAGTGATTTTAGATTAGATATAAGGAAGAGATTCTTTCCTTTGAGGGTTGTGAGACACTGGAACAGGTTGCCCAGAGCAACTGTGGCTGCCCCCTCACTGGGAGTGTTCAGGGCCAGGTTGGATGGGGCTTTGAGCAACCTGATCTAATGGAAGGTGTCCCTGCCCATGACAGGAGAGTTTGGAACTAGATGATCTTTAAGATCCCTTCCAACCCAAACCATTCTGTATGAATCTGTGATACAAGGGTCTGCTTTCAGTGAAAGGCTCAACAATATAATTTCCAGAGGTCAAAGTCTCTTAAACTCTGATTTCTGCAATTCTGCGTTTCCTCTCACCCTGCTTTGGAAGTGTTAGTGCTCTTGCTTATGTTGTCAGTGGTACCCTTCAAAACCACAATTCTCTATAGTTTTTTCATTCTCAACAAGGCATCAGAGCTCCAAAGATCCTTTAGAATTCAGCATGAGTTAGACACCCAGTGTTCCTGAAAATCAGGCCACTGTTTTTACATGCTTAAAAATATTATACAAGTCCTTTGACAAAAGAACTTTCATGGTCCAGCTGCTTGTACTCCAGTATTATGGTCTCTGTTCTTTTGAAACTGAGAGATTTGGGTACTGTCCAGTTGCTGAATATATTTGGAGGTTTGTACTGATAATGTGCTTTTTTAGTAACTTCATTATTGGTCTTGGGTCTAGTAAAAGCTATTCCATTGCAATAGACTAAGTGGCGGCTTAATTAATTTACAAATAGCTTAGTGGCTTTCCTGGTTGTCTTTCTGTACAAAGCTATGGTTAGGAAGTCAAGGGCAAGTTTTTTTTCACATTGTTCCAAAAGTGCCTCAGTATTGCAGATTTGGAAAGAGCGTAATTGGTTAGTGATAGTTAGGAATTCTGAGAATAGCAGAGTAGAAACCTAGATTTTTAAAAAATCTGGTAATTGTTTACCTTTTTCCTAGGATTTTAATTAGAGAAATAAAACTGATAAAGTTTGAATATACAGTCTTGAAGATACGGTCTTGCAGGTAAGTTGTTTTCTTTGTGACTAAGTTAGCATATATAAAATTGATTTCTTACTCAATTTTATGAAATATGAACTGTAATCTCATTGTAGTGTACTTGAACTTTTGTTTTGCATCTGCATATAGGATGAAACAAAGAGACCAAAACAAAAATAACAAAACTGAGAGAATTCAAAAGGTGAGCATTTTTTTTTTCTGCTGTGGCAGCGTACTGTATTCTTACATTCCTGCAACATTTACTCTCGGACAATATTTCCACTCATCTGCCTGTGATTAGGCTAGCTCCTTCATCTGCCTTTGTGCTCTTTTGATACTTTGTCATTATAGGTATTAGGCAAACATTTTAACTTAGAATTTTTGTCCTTCTTGCCTACTAAGGTCCGCAGCATGTGGACACTTATAATGGAAATGCTTACATCTCTGGAAAAGGAAAAGGAAGTTGTGGATTCTGTACTTGCTGAACTTGAAAGTTATGTTCATCGATGCATTTTAGATGGAACTGATGTTGCTTTCAGTGTTCCACAGCCATTGGTTCGCAGACTTGAAAATGACATACATGAAGTAAGTAGTTTTTGTATTTCCTGCTAAACTGTTTTTTTTCTAGTCCCCAGGGCTGTAACTAGATACCTTTGAAAAAAAACCCAAACGTCACAGATGACAAGAGATGATTACTCAGGGATGGAGAAAATATGTCTGATTTATATGTAACAGTTTGTTATGATTATGCTACTGGTTTGTATTTGTTATGTTTCAACCATTAACTTTTAAAATTCAATAATTGCATTGGTAATTCTGCCTGATTAATAATTGATTTTTTTTGTAGTTTAGACATGAAAACTAGGTTGACCGGTTTAATTGTTGCTTTAGCTAATGAGCTTTTGTTTCTAATGTGTAGTATATGGTGCTGTTTAAGCCTGTCACATCTGTTGAGGCAGTGGTTAAACAGGATGCCTCAGATGACGTTTTCTTAGTTCATATAGCTTTATAGTCAGTCTACTTTCAAACAGCTGACTCTAGAAAACAAACCTGAGGCTTAAATCTAGAGCTTCTTTTTGAAAAAATGAGTCAAAAACTGAATCAGAATATAAAGTGGAACTTTGTATCCCTGCTTTGATTACAGAAGACATAACTTTGATATTGATGTTGTTCTCTTTTTTTTTTTTTCTTGCTTGCTATACTTCAAGATTTGTTCAGGAAATATATATGAAGGTGAAAAACTGAATTTCTTAACAGTCATTCAGTTATTAAATGAAGCCCTGAGGACACTGAGAGATGAACGGTGTCAACCTGAATTAAAACAAATGCAGGTCATTGAGAAGAAGGTGATGGTCTGCAATAAATTACTGCAGCGTTTGGTAGCAAATAGGTAATTATCTGGAAATTTTTTCTGGTTCTTTGTTCTACAGTGTAAGGCTCATGTCTTCCTACCTTGGAGTCCTGTCTAAAATAGTAATATTTTTAGTAAGAACATGTTTGTTCAGTATTTTTCCTTTGCCTCTGGGAAATTCACATATGTCTTAATGATTTGTGTAACTTTTAATGGAGTTTCTTCTCTAGATAACTTCAGCTTTTTGTTTTTGCTTAATTGACATTTTAGGCTTTTTTTTTTTTCCCTGGGCACCTCATTTGCTAGATGATCTGATTTTTATTTTTTTTTCTCGTTTATCTGTTCTGTGATTTTAAAATGTTATCTTAAACTGTCTTAGGGAAAGATAAAGTGTGTATCTCATTGTGTGTATGTATTTTAGTATAGTTCTTCCAAGTCTGCTCTAAGAAACATGAAGACTACCTAGCAGCTGCTTTTTAGGTTGTGAAATTCAGTTCGTTCTCAGTGCATGCACAAGTGCATGAGTGAGTTGATACATGTCAAAGATTTGGAGGCTAAGGGGAACGCATAATACTCTCTGTTTTTATGCAGAATTGTTATCTCCACCAACAGATGCGTTATGTTCATTTTCCATGCTCTTATGTTACAGACTAAAAATAGAGCAACAGCATCGTGTGTCAAGTGCATCTATTTCTAGAAAACAGGAAGACTGGGAAGTGAAGTGGAAAAGCTTTCTTGGTCTGTGTCCTTTTAATTTAATCTTGCATCAGTATCCAGTAAATAGGGTTCAATTTACCTGGTTCTGGGGAAGAGAAAATGTAAAGGTAAGAGAGGATGTACATCCAACCTGGTGCGTTCTATTGTAACACTTAAGCTTTAAATGTAAGGTTAGGGAATCACATAGTACAATATATCAGTAATTGCTTTTTGTAGTCTTTCTTAAAGAAGATAGATTTCACTTATTGGCAGCTAGTGTCTTCATTTGAGATGGGGTATGGAACGGTCTTGTCAAGACAGTATGTCAGCATAAGCGTGACCTGATTGATTTTGGTTTTATCCATATCCATCCCCCTGTGGAAATTTGGCTTTTATCTACTATCAGCCTGAACATCTGCTGAGTTATGGTTTTCCTTTTTAAGGTGATCTGCTAGATGAATGAACAATAATTTCCATTCTTAAGTTTACATTGATACAGGGATCTGAGATTATACTCTTGTCTAGCTACCCAGTAGAGAAAGGACAAGTTTCATGTTGAGTCTAACAGCTGGTTTGCAGAAAAGCTGTTTTAAATAATTGTTTGTTAATTGCTGATGATATGCAGATTTCTTTCAGCCTGCTTGTGCAACTTTCTTTTTCTTTTGAAAGGAACCGCATTGGTCAAAAGCTTTGCCACCCCTTTCTTTTAATCTTGAAGAAAGAGATGAGGATATTGTCCCTTGTCAACATGTAGCATCAGTTTCAGGTGTGTGAACAGGAGAAGCTTCTTTCCCTTCTCACTACCCAACACAATTTAAAAAATATACTTAGGGTCAAGAAGACTCCCTGCTTGTGTTTGCAAGTATCTTTAGTAGTCTCTGATAATCTGGTTTTGAATGACACCTTGCCACAGTTGCCTTACGTTTTTCAAACTTGTTTTATCTCAGAGATTCTCTGAAGTTTTTGATATTGCAAAAAAACAATGCTGGACCTCTTTGGTATTTTGTTGTTCTTGCACAAAGGGTGTTGAGACAGATTTCTATATGCAAAGTAGTTTAATTCGTGGGTTCTAGAGAATACATTCACTCTAACAGTTGCTTCGGTTTGGAGGAGTAATACCAAAGAAAGATAGAAGATAAAACTTTTCCCATTAGCCAGCTGGCAAAAGAAATTGAAGGTGTCCTCTCAGGTCAGCATCTTTCCCTAGTGCATTCTGAAATACTTATTCCACAGTAAGTGTGCCATTTGATCAGGACTTTGCTTGATCTCTGTGTTGGTTGTTTTCAGTCATTAAGTTAACAGTGCTGATCAGAGCTCACTTTGATCAGACATGGATGTTGCACATGCTAATTGACAACTGAGCTGATTGTGTTTTACTGGGCAGTGCTTGTTGACAAAGTGTTAGAAGCTATGAAAGTGGAAAGGGAAGGCAAAGACAACTTGAGTCGTATGTCATTTGCAGTCCTGTTTAGGAAAAATTTAAAGGTGCGAAGTAATAGGAGAAGATCCTTTTGCTTACAAAGGTGAAAGCATGCTCTAGTAGTCTGAGGATATGTAGTTATCAAGCTAGAAGCTGCAAAGGAGAGGCTGCAGAACTGCAAATGGAAGGTCATTTGCCTTAAAAATTTCAGAGATTAAAGCACTGTGCAGTAATGCTGTGAGCTTCTAGTAATACCAGAAAGCTTGAGACAAACTGGTGTCTGGCATTCTCTCTACTCTGTGGTTAAGATGCTTGACCTGAGAACTCTAGACACTAAAAAATCTAATGTTCTGCCTGTTAACATGTCAATCTTTAATAAATAAATAAAAAGTTAACCTCACCTAACTTCTTGAAGTCAGCTTGAATTTTGGAGGTGATATTGAGGTGAATACTAAAGGAAATGCCATTTATTTTTGCAGAAGCTGAAATTTAGGGTTAGTAGAGAACTACTGAGATTAAATTTTAGCTATTTATCCAAATAATGTGCCAAAATTGGTATTTATTGTTCTAGAGAGTCCTGAGCTGAGATACATGTACCTCTGATAATGTGCAAAACATTTCCTTATGCTTTGCTTTGCTTGGACTCAGGTGGTATTGATCAGAAAGATGAATATGTCCACAGAGATATTTATTGATAAATGCAGGTGAAGATGGTGAGGAAAACATGGGTGGAATTTTGCTTTGTGGAATTGTTGTGCCACACGATTGATATGTACATGGAGAGGACGGGATAATGAGGACATGTGGCTGGATTGTAGTTTGTAGAAGGGTCGAATGTGTGATTGATATGTGCAGAGCAACAGATAGAATCGTGCCTGAAACGTGTTCAGGAGCAACATAACTAGGTGCTGGCTGCTAGTGGCATCTGTGGCTGAAGGTGGTACCTGAGCAAAAGGGTTGATTCCACTGTCCTGCTTATGTATTAATTTATTTTTCTTGAAGTGTTTATAAAATACATCCTATGAATAGTCTACAGAAGTGGCCTGAGCCATTTGTGTCACCTGGGAAACTTGAGCAAAAAAAATGGAAGCAAAAATAAAATTCTTGACTTGCTTTTCTAGATGTTTGTGACACTATTCATGAGGTATGTTACGGGAAGAGTAATGAGGCATTGGAAACGGTGATAGATAAGTCAACACTACCACCAAGAGGGTAAGAAGTTAATGAGAAATTGATTAAAAAAGCAGTGGCAAAAGTAGAAATTTACTTGTTGACGTTGAATATATTGCATCTCTTGGATCCTTAGTGGAATATTTCAGTAGCCCATTCCTTACATGTCAAATACACCTGATTTAGCAAGATAGTCCTAAAATAACTTGCTTTCTCCAGCTGGTGACTGATTGATCAACTGGTTGCTGCTGAACAGGATGTGCAGCAGCCAAGTTGCAATGTTTTTATCTCACTTTTTAACTGTATTCCTTCAAACTTCAGGAGGTGAGTGAAGAAAACAGAGAATTCTTAGGTTGATTTGGTGTAGGCACAAATGTTCAGTATAGCCTGAGAGTAAAAGAACAGACATTAACAGGATCCCTTCTTTTTTGTTTAAAAAAACCTAGCTAAAACTGAACCAAAACAAAAAACCCTGACTCCCAAGTAGAATTACCGTGGTAACCCTTCTCAACAACACTTTTCTCATGAACCTTCTAAAATCAGTTTGTTCTGTAACTTCTCTCACTACAGTTCCAGGAAGTGATAGAGCACAATGGTATTCTAACGTTTTGGCCTGTTTGTCATTTACTCAGTCCAGGAAGGTTTCATGAATAACACTGTATTTCATAATGGGACTCCTACAGATACTTGAGAGTTGCCTACTAGGAGAGAAGTGGTGTTAGCAAAGGAAGGCTGTCCTATATTTAGACATAAGTAGATGTCTGCATGTGAGTCTCAAAGATTGTCCGAGTAGTTAACAATTAAAGCAACTTCATACAGCATGGATTTTTGTCTGCTTCTGATTCTGAAGACAGGTAACAGCAAATACTAACATTTTAAGGTTCATTCTTCCTAACAAGTGAGAATGGTACTTCAAATTTTAGAGAGCTATGTAATTAGCACTACCCTCATCAGAAGTGAAAAGACTGAAGTTTTTGGTAGCCAGGTGATTGTTAAATATCAATAAATACATACAGGAACAGACCTGTGGATACCAGAGGCGATTCAGAGGAAGAGTATGTAGAGAAGTTATCTGTGATTGCGGAATACAGAAGACTTGTTTACGAAAATATCACAAAATCCCTTCTTTTTCTCTTTGGTAATCAAGGGAAAAGTTTCACAATTTATTGATTTTGGGAGACTGATACACAACTAGGGCTAAGTCTGCTCTAATTGTCACATGTTCTCCCTATAGTAGAATTGCCTTCTGATGACTGGGATGAATTGAGAGAAATCATAACGGACAGATACGGGGCATACAATATGTAATGGCCTTCTACTGAGATTTGTTTGCCATTTGTTTAATTTGTGTCTCAATTTATTTATTTATTTATTTAACCCCTCTTTTCCCCCTTTCCCAAGGATCTCTTTAGTGCCTTTGGAGTTGTCAAAATCCTCAGAAAACAGAGATGTGTTAATTGAAAAGGTGATTCTTCAGTAATTTCCTACCTGTCAATTAAGTTAAACGTAGGATGTTTGCTTTTTACATTAATTGAAGCTTAGACATAGTATTTCGGGGGGAGGGTTGCGGGTTGTTTTTTTTTTGGTTTTGTTTTGTTGTTTCTAAGTAGTATTTTTACAGATCTGAGTCAGTCCTGTAAAACTATAAAAACTGTCAGGGACTTCTTTAAGCTTTAAGAAAGGACAGAATTAGGTGCTCTTGCACCTGACTTCCAGTACAGCATATGGGTGTGACTGATTGCCTGCTTGCTGAAACAGTCTTTTTGTGAACAGTGGTCAGACTTTGATGTTTATTTAAGTTGTGCGTGAACAGTTGTTCATTGCACAATTGTTCACTATAGTGTGTTCAAGGTAGTTGCAGATGAATCATCTGTGTTCTATGCAACACTTTATCCTAGCCACTACTTACGTCCTACTTTAAATATGATTGTAAAATAGAATTTAAGACTGAAATATTTGTATTGACTAAACACAAAGACCATTGCTGTTCAGAATTTGTCCAGCAGTTTCTTCATGCTAATTTTCTGACCCTTGAGTTTAAAACTTCTAATAATTCATGTGTATTCCTCTAGAACTTGCATATTGAAACTTGCAAGGGGAAAAAAAAGCCTGTGCCTCCAGAGATCTTAAAAAATGGAAAGAATGAGTCTGTCATTTCAGAAATGGAGAATGCAGGTGATCATATTGTCCAGACACAGTCTGCTGTCAAAAAAGAAGACCCTCTTAAGAAAGCCAGAGATGAACTGGCAGAAGAGGTTAGGAAGTGTTATTTTTAAATTTTTTGTTCGTTTGTTTTTAAATAAATGGTCATTAAATTCAGAAAACAAATTACTAATTGTATCATAAAATGCCTCTTGTAATCTGCATACATCAAAAGTTATTTTTTTCTGCTAGATAGTAATAAGTGTCACTAGGTTTTAGGGGTGACTGCCTAATTAAGTACACCCTGAATGCCCCGACCTTGTGCAGTTATCATACTTGTAAATCATGGTGAAGTGAATAGCACTCAGTAGAAACATGGTGTCATTTTTATCACCACTCATCCATTAATCTATGAACCACTGCATATATTAAGAATTCAACAGTCATTTTTGTTTCTGAGATTTTGCAGGTTAAATATTTAACAGGGAAATTTTGGTATTTCCTCTTTTAGGTATTTTATTTAAGATTTATCTGAGGAATTTCTTCACATGAGTTGGTGTAAAATGTGCCACATTTTGATTTGCAAGGTGAATTGCGTCTTTCACTGAAACAGAACAGTTATTTTTCATCTGCTAAAATGTTTTACTTATATAAATATAGCTCTAGTCTTTATGCTTATGCAGTTCTTGACTAGTGTCTTAAGTATATTTTATCTGAGTATATTTTCTTATTTTAAAGATGGACTCATACATGATGAGAGAACTTAGAACTGAATTCTGATTTCAGTCCTCTATCTTCATTTTGTGTTTGTAGGACACTGTGGTCATTGTGAGCCTAAATAGTAAATGACAGAAGAAGAGTCAGGAGATTCCAGATTCTTCAGATCATTTGGAAAATGCGATCTATTTAGAACCATAACTGACAGAAATAAAAAGGTTATAATTTTGCTTTCTCAATGTTTGCCCTTCTCTGACATCCCACAGGTTGCAAGAGCTGTGATATCTGGGTCTCCTCAGACTGGTGAAGGAAAAGGAATGGCATTAGAAGATCTCATTAGGGCACTGGCTTTTAACCCATTTATAACAAGGAATCAGATTCCTCGGACTCCAGAAAAGCTGTGTAAGTCTGAAACTGTTTTTATAATACTCATTGATTAGAAATGTGATTATTTTGTTGACATTGTATACATCACACAAGAAAAAAAAGATAATTATTTCAGTGAAACTGCAAGTTATTCTAATGGCTCACTCTGTAACAACATAATAGGCTTAATAAGATGTAGGCCTAATAAAATGTGAATACTGTGAATTTGATTTAACACAGATTTTTTTTTTTTTTTTTCCTGTGTAGAGTCCCCTTTGTGTTGAGGAAGAAAACTAAGCATAAGCAATATAAAGCAGCTATATGTATTCCTTCTTGGATTGCTTAGCTTACCGAAGGGACAGTAGAAAACCAGATTTACTGAGTGTATGAAAATACTAAAATTTTACCTTGGTTTGTTCCATTTAGTTACTGATGTTAGAAGCTCATGGAGAAAAACTATTCAAACTGAGGGCTCATCAGACATGGAGCCGATACCAGCTGAAGTAACGATAGAAGAAGATGCAATGGATGCTACACTTACCATGGAGGAGGAATCCGACTCTACACTCATGTGCTCTACCTCTGATTCTGATTCAGAGAACCAGACTCTTCTGTATGTAAAGAGCAGCACGAATACTCCAGCTATCTGTTCAGAAAACAACAGCAGAACAAATGTTCTACCTTCAGACCACTTTCAGGCTTCCTTAGTGAATGAGATGCAGCACTGGAATGTTAGAAGCCCATCGAGAAAAACTATTCAAACTGAGGGCTCATCAGACATGGAGCCAATACCAGCTGAAGTAACGATAGAAGAAGATGCAATGGATGCTACACTTAACATGCAGGAGGCATCCGACTCTACACTCATGTGCTCTACCTCTGATTCAGAGAACCAGACTCTTCTGTATGTAAAGAGCAGCATGAATACTCCAGGTATCTGTTCAGAAAACAACAGCAGAACAAATGTTCTGCCTTCAGACCACTTTCAGGCTTCCTTAGTGAATGAGATACAGCAGCAGAATGTATCTCTATTGTTCAGTTCTGTCAGTTGTGAAGGCAGCCACTTGGGTATATTGGATGAGACATTTCCAGAAGAGTTTGATAGCTTTGATTCCAGTGATTATTCATGGTCAGAGCCTGATTTTGATGTAATAGACAGCACATACATAGCAGGTGATCCAGATAATGAGGGGGATATTCAAAAATCAAAGCTAGATCTACAGTCCCCGTTCAACACAAATAAAGTGCTGAAAAATACCACATCTAGAAGTGAAGAGAAGCTGCATCAAACATATAATGGAGGTGAATCTTTAAGTTGTAAATCAGACCTCAATCTTGCACTAGAAAAAAGAGAAAGAGATGAATTTTGCAATCCTGTAGAACTCTTCTCCTCAGATAAAGAATTTACCTTAATGCCATCACCAGAATCTCCTAATGAAAGAAAATATTCCTTGTCATCTTTACTGGTATCCTGTCAGCAACTGGAGGAAATATACACAATGGTACACAATATCCCAGTAGAGTTAGTACATAAATTGAAGGGTAAGTGTCATGTACTTTAGCAGCAAGATTTTGTTCATTCTACCATGAATAACCTACTCTGAATAACTGAACTGTGCTGTGGAAGATTAGCGAGACTATTATTTGTATGCTTATTCCTTGTGGAAGATGAAATGTAAAAGCAAAGGAAACACGCTTCCTTTAGTTGTATCAACATCTTGCAAGTAGGAGGAAAAGCGTTCATCTGACTTTGAGGTAAACGGAAGCTTTTTAAAAAAAAAAAAAAGCCTCAAGTTGCATTGGCAATGGAGTAATCTGAAGTTAGATTAGTTAAATTCTGGGAATTCACAAAGTTGGTTTGAAATAGTGTTTACGCTAAAAAAATTTGGCTATTTAAAAATGTGTTTTAGGTAGTTGAAAACTTTGTGAGTTCAGTCATATGTTCATATTCTGTAATACGTTATTAATATACTTTTTATTGTTAAATATTCTGTATTCCAGCCTGCCTGCCCGCCTCGCCCCATTTCTGTCAGCTTTGTTTAACCAGTAATGCAGTGTTCATGTACCTGGGAGGTCAAATTTTTAAATGCCTTAATCAAAATTAAGCCAGCAATAGTTATACAGGAGACTCACCAAAAGAGATGTTTTTTAATGGAGTACTAGGAATTTATTGTAACAAGCTAGTCTCAGGAAGTAGTGAGGTTTATACACTGTGCAAAGGCTTGCTGCAATTTAACTGTTGTTTAAAAGCGCGGCTCTACTAATAGAACATGATTTTGCCTTATGTCGTGGTTTTAGCCCAGAGAGCAACTGAGACCACACAGCCGCTCACTCATCTCTTCCGTCTCAGGAATGGGAAGGAGAAAATAAAGCAAAAGGCTCCAGAATTGAGATAAGGACAGGGAGGGATGACTTGCCCATTGTGGTCATACAGACTTGTTAGGGGAAGAAAAAGAACATTAATTTAATTCAAACACTAAGAACAGCAACACTTAACAGACAGAGTAGGACAGAGAGAAGCATTGCCACATCTTAAAAAACACCTTTCCATCACCCCTCCCTTCTTCCTGGGCTCAGCTTTGCTCCCAATTTCTCTACCTCCTCCCCTGCATAGCTGCAGGGGATGGGGGGTTGTAGTCAGTTCTGCTACTCCTTCCTCCTTGAGGATGGGGAGGACTCCTCATGCTCTTCCTATTGTCTAATGTGGGGTCCCTCTCACAGGAGACAGCCCTACATGAACTTTTTCCTACATGCATCCTTCCCACAGGCTGCAGCGCTTCTCATGCTGTTTCAGTGTGGGTCCCTCCCATGCGTTGCAGTCCTCCCAGTGCCAGACTACAACAGCAGGGGGCTTCTTCCCACAGAGTCCTGGCCTTTGGGCACAGTCACTTGCTCTTATGTGGGGTCCTCCAGGGGTTGCAGGTGGGCATCTGTTCCACTGGTGACCTCCATGGGTGACGGGAGGACAGCCTGCCCTCTCACTGCAGGGAAGTCTGCTCCAATGTACCTTCCTCTCTTCCTCCTCCTCCTTTCTTCCACTGACCTCAGTGTTTGCAGAGGTGTCTCCCTCCCAACTCCTCCCAGTTTCCCCTTCTTAAATATGTTATCATAGAGGTGTGGCCACTGTCGCTAATTGGCTCAGCCTTGGACAGAGGTGGGTCTGACTTGGAGCCAGGAGAGCTTTGAGGAGCTTCTTACAGAACCCACCGGTGTAGCCCCCTTCCCTGCTACCAAAAACCCCTGCCACACACACAAACACAGCAGACCTTACTTGGAAGAGTTATCAAAGTTGGAAGTACTCTTTCATATATGCTTTTTTAAATATACACCAAACACTTTTGGAGCAGTATTTTTGTCAATTAATTGAATATTATAGCATACTAACTAATACTCTCTTACTTCCAGGTAAAGAGCAGTTGAATGAGAATCTGGGCACAAAGGAACCTTCATCAGGACAGAATTTGTAAAGCAGAAGCATTACTCCAATATTACAGTTATGGTTCACCTGAGCATGTAGCATCTTTTCCAAGAACTGTTTAGATGGAGAAGTTCCACTACTTTCTATTTTTTGAGGAGACTGTATTCCTGTCTCCTTGCTTAGGAGTATCAGTTGCCTGTTCTTGTTCTTCCAATTTCATGTCATCTATAGTAGCTTTCTGTGTACAGCCTATCTTTGATTTACAGAACTAGGAATTTAAGAGCTTTGTTTTTAAAAATAGCAGATGTTAAGCAGGTTGCATAATCCTAGAAAATGGAAAATGAAATCTCAAATGCGAAATAATAAAATCTTTAGTGTCTCTACCATGCTCATGATTTCCAACCTCCTTCCCTCCCCTGTCTCAAAAAAAACCTAAACCCAAACTCAAAGCAAAAACAAAGCACTGAAATTTTACTTGTTGATATATATTCACTGGATTATTCTCTCTTTTTGAGACTTCTGGTCAATATTGCCATCAGTTCTATCTGTTGATAATCTGCTCTGTTTATAAAAACTTTCACAGAAGTGCCTATTTTGTTAGGTATTTTACTGAATTGGTGTTTTACAATGAAGTTGTAAAATTTTATGACTTGTGGTTAATGTCATTGTATTTTCAAATAGTTGGTACACATTCGTGACCTTGTGATATAAGTAGTTGATAGTATAGTGTGTGGTGGGTGAGAAAGTAAAAGTTGAAGTTCCAGCAGATAAACTTACTGTAAAAGTACTGACTCCTAACCTGATGTTTTTAGAGAGTTTTGAAGCATTGCTACAAAAAATTTTCCTATTCTGGTTTATCCTTCTGCTCCTTTCTTTCAAAACAGTTGCAGATAGGTTTTAAGAAGAATCTGCATCTGTATTTGACGTTTTCCTTAAAAAGCAGAATTTGACAAGCTCTGTGAAAAGAGATTTAAGTGGCTGGTTGTGGAAGCTATAATATGGCTGCTAACATGTTAACAGCTAATAGCGAAGTGCTTCTTAATAGCCCGTATACGTATTGATCTAATCATGGTCAAACAGCTGTTGGAATAGTGAGAATTGGAATAGTCTGACTTGGGACAGGCCCAGTGTATTCTTGTAGACCAGGGCTCTAGAGCTTGATGCTGGTGACTTCACAAATGTTTCCCAGGTGACTGTAAGGGCTTTCATGACTTGGTCAGAAGAGGCTTGAAAGCTAGACTGCAGAGCTCTGGGTGGGATGGCACCAGAGGAACCTGGGCATGCTGCCCCAGGGAAGAACTGGTCAGCTGGGATGTGTAGTGCAGTTTGTACCAGTGTCGTGGGCTCTGTCCCTGCTTCTGGAGTTTGCTAGATCTCCTGACACAGTAGTCTCCAGGGACTGCTGCTGAAGAGTGGGGGTTTTTTGTTGTTGTTCTGGTTTGTTTTTTTGTTCTGCTAGAGAGCATCTGCTGGGAAGGACCTGAACCATAACTGTTTTTCTTGGCAAACATGTCTCCTATATCGCCTGTGCCTTTGCATATAGTTCCATCCTTGAAGAAGTGCATTTATCAGCTGTGCTCCTGTGGGTATGTAAAAGAGGCTGGGGGAAGGAGCTTGGAGTAGCAGTTACTTGGCTAGAGGGCTGCACTGTTATTCACTGCTATAAGTTGCATATGAAAAATTATAAATAAGTTTATGTTAGAGCACTTCTGAAGCTTTAAAGCAGGAAGTATTCTTCTGCCATTCTGCCTATTCAACCATGTGGTTCTTATTTTTGTCATAGGAGTAAACAAATGTCAGGGAGGCTTCCCATTTTTCTTAGTGGGTGTATTGCATCTCTAAGAGAAGAGCTTTCCACTTTTTGGTCACAAATTTGCTTTCAAATGGGTGTTACTGACTTTGAGTCTGTGCTTTAATGTAATGCAAAGTGATACTTCCTTTGCAAACATGTGAATTCTGGAAAAGATACAGGGGTAGAGCTTTACCAATGGACGAGACAACTGAAAATACTGGGATTCATTGGTGGTTTTGTTAGTGGCAGTCTTGTGAATGTACACAAACTTGAAAGCAATATTTAGCTTTAGGCCCTTTGGCATAATGTCTATTCTCCCATATTTGCAGGTTAAGAATAAAATTATTACTGGGGAAAAATAAATCCTTCTGAGTCACTCAGATTATGTGCCTTAGTTTGTTTTAGAGCTACTAAGTAATTATGAAGAGAGTTTAAAAGTACAAAGTTCCCATCCAGATTTTATATAAGGCTGGTATGCATAGTTGTTACTGATCATGAGTAACAAGCACATGTACTCTAAAAAGAAAACCAATAGAAATGTATTTTTGAGTGCTTTTAACAAATTCTTATTTGTAAGGTACAAGACTCTCTGCTCTCTTCCTCATTCTGTATGTATCATTTAGGTTTTTTAATCAGTATTTATATTTGACTAGGGATTTGTGTTCCAGAGAGAAGTAACAGTGATTTGATTGTTGTGTTATCAAGGACCTAAACTAGGTGTAGCACAGATCTGGATTGAGAAGGATCCTCTGATTTTAATGAAGTAATGTACAGAAGTATAGGTCTGTCTTTAAGGCTTGCAGTAATCTTTCAGATGGTAGATGAGCTAGTAGGGTAGCTAAAATGTAAGGATATGGATAATATCTTGATCATGGCCTCTCAAGAAAAATTAAACTGGATGTTGGTTTCTGCTACATTGGCAGTTTTGGGTTAAGAAGTGTCAGCTAAGAATTCTGAGTTTCTTGTGAAGACTTGGCCTCAGATTCCAAGTAAAATATATAAAAGCAGAAATTATATACCTGTGCACCTTGGGGATCTTTCCTGCTTGCAGGGAAATGCAACACTGTGGTTTTTGTGTTATAAGTAGTAGCTCACTTGTCCACTGGTTTGTGGCAGATACTTTGGAAATTTTGGTTAAGCTTGTATTAGAAGGCCATCATAATTACGTTGAACTTTAGGATAAAATTCTTCCCTTGTAGAGCAGTGATTTACTGATTAGTGAGGAGGAGTTGGAGAACAGCAGGGCATTAGCAGCAGCTATAAATAAAACTTACTTTATATTTTTCTTCAACTTCTTTAAAACTGGGTGTTTGCTGAATAGGAATACAGTATTCATCATGTATGGTGTTTAGTGTCCAAGATACCTCTACTGAAGTACCATTCAGAAGTACTTGCCCATTAAACTTGGGAAAATATTTTTTTCATTAACATCCTAATTAGAAGATTCTTCCATTTAGCTTCCTAAGAATAGGGAATTTGGGCTTCTGAAGTCAGGTGCACTGGGATATCATTAGCTGAAGTACACAGTGCAAATACCTTACTTTCCTCTCCAGAGAATATGCCATAACTTAGTGCAGTGTCATGGTTTGAGCCTGGTCAACAGCTAAACTCCACGCAGTCTCTCACCCACCCTCCCCCACTTGGGAATGGGGAGGGAATCTGAGGGGCAAAGGGAGACTCGCGGGTTGAGGTAAAAACAGTTTAATAACAGTAACAGAACAATACACTGACAGCAGAATCAGCGGGTAATGTACCATACAGCTGCTCACCACCCACCGACCGACACCCGCCTGCTGCCGGCTGGCGATCCCCAACACAAAGGCCCCACAGCCACACTCCCAGAAGTGGCAGCCTCTCCCGGCCCACTCCTGCCTTTATATAGTGAGCACAATGTCATGTGACATGGACTATCGGCCAATCCGGACCCAGCCCTCCAGCTGTGCTCCCCCTGCCCCCGCACACAGGTGAGGGCACTGGGACCTGGGGAGCCCCTGGGGTCTTAGGGTGCTGCAGCTCCTCCCGCTGCCAGACCAACGGGAACTCTAGGCCAGCCCCAACCAGGACATGCAGCACTGCAGAACAGTCAATATGTTGCAGTTTAGGTTTGCCCATCCTTACCAGGTGAGTTCCAAAAGGACAGGTTTATGAACTTCTTGGTCTCTTACTTTGGAAGATTATACTAGCGTTCTCTTCTTACCAAAGCATCTACAAATTGCTCATAAAGGTATGGTAAAGTGTCTGGAATATCTATCCTCCAAGTATAATATCAGGTAGTACAATGTTTGATAGTAGCATATCAAATAATGTGTAGCATTAACAAAACATAGATTGAGAAGACTTTTGCAGGGTAGCAGGTTAACTGCAGTCTGTCCTGTGTATGTTCTGCCTGTACTGAACATACATCAGTCTATTTTTATTGAAAAGTAAATCTAAAAGAACATATAATTGACTGCCACTAGTCCACTGAGCATTGAAAAATGCAAATACAGTTCTGTCACTGGATTTCTGCAAGTAATGGCAGAAACAATCTCAATTATAAGACTTATTAGTTGTGTAACAGCTGCTTTTAGACTTGTTCATTGTGGCCAGTGGTAGCGCTAGCTGAGAGATAAAATTTCTGCTTTGTGCTAAGAATGGCCATAAATAGAATACATCTGTTAATCCTGGATACGGGCAGAAAGATACATTCGTAATGAGTCATTTATGCTCCCTGTATCGTTGGATTGAGAAAATACTTAAAAAAAAAAAAAAAAAAATTCAGCTGGAAGACTCTATGAAATACATATTTTTAAAAATTAAGATGACCTGTTCCATCAGAGCTTTGAGATGTTAGGGAAAGACTTTTGACTTAGCTGTTCTAGCTAAAATACTACAAGCAACAGTGACCAGGCCACCGGAGTATGGGTCCCATGTTAGAGCTACAAATTTTCTAATTATTCCAGGATGTTCAGTGCTCAGTACTTCTCAGTGTGGATGTTTACCTTACAACTGCTAAATGGTAAGTGACATTTACAGATGTGTCCATATATATCCATGTATGGCGAGATACAGTACATGTATCATCATTGTTTATAGAGCAAATTCACACCAAGTTTCTTTCATGGATGGTGTGTGTGTGAGATGAAGGATGGAGGCATGAAGGTAAGAATTCCTAGTGTATTCAGGCACCAGTGCAAACTGGCTGTTTTTAACAGCAGCTGTACCGTGAGAAGGTGTTTGAGATGATGGGTGAGTTCGTAGACCTGCTTTCTTATTTCCTTTCCCACAATTTGTGTAGATCTGCTGACTGAAATCTTTTATCTTAAGAATGTGTGAGAACAAAAGCAACTGCAGGCAAGGATTACTTCTGGCTTCTGCATCCTGTGCAAACCCCTTTTATGCACAAGGATGTAACATTGCACCTTTAGTAGTTACATAAGCACACAACAGAGGTTCTTGCAACGCCTTGCACAAAGGATGAACAGTCTTCCACAGTACTCACTTGTCCCTATGACAGAAGTAGATTTTTTTTTTTTTTGTATTTGAGATATATATTGAAGTGATTGTATTCTTTTGTCTAATAAGTCATATCTTTCATTGTTTTGCATGTAGA